CCCGCCCAGGGGCCCCCCCCCCCCGCCCCTGCCCAGTGCTAGTTGGGTGAGATGCAGGGCAGGACACACCTCTTCCAACAGCCACAGTGGGGGAGGAGGCACAGGGCCATGTACCCCAGCCCTGGCCCTCAGAACCACCACAACGTGGGCAGCAGTGCAGGGCTAGGTGAGGGGAGCGAGGCAGCCACTGGGGGCACTCCAGGGGTGGGTGGCTCTGAAGACCGAGCTAGTAGTGAGGAGGCTATGGAGGCAGGGCTGGCACTGGGAGGCTCTGGGGATGGGGCTAATATTGTCAGCTGGCACTGGGAGGGACTCTGGGGGGTGGTGCATTGGGGCTCTAGAAACAGGAGATTGGTACTAGGGGGGTACGGTGGGGAACCTAAGGGGCAGGGGGCTGGGACTGAGGCCTTTGGGATGGGGCTGGCACTGGAGGGGGCTCTGAGGGTGGGAGGCTAGCACGGGGCTTGGGTGCAGAGGACTGTGGGTGTCAGTGACTGGCACTGGGGGGGGGTAGTGAAGGGCTCTAGGAGTTAGGGCTGGCACTAGGGGCTCTAGGGTCTGGGCTTTTGGTGGACAGGTAATGTTTTATTGGCATATTTATCACTAGCTGGACTTACCCGGCATTGCCCGGGAAACCGGAGGAACCAAGTTTAGAAAAACAAACTGGTCCTGACAGCCTCCAGCCACACTGCAGGTGCCAGCGCCTGACATCTGTCCATTATGGCAGAGCCCCATGCTTTTCTACTGCTGCATAAAGCAAAATCTCTGACTCAAAAAAAAAAAAAAGGAGGCATTGCAATGTTGAGAATCAGAGCTATTAGACTTGGCAAACTTAGATACAAAAGTCACAAAAGAAACTGATAGAGATGTAGCCGTGTTAGTCTGGGGTAGCTGAAGCAAAATGCAGGACAATGTAGCACTTTAAAGACTAACAAGATGGTTTATTAAAGTGCTACATTGTCCTGCATTTTGCTTCAGCTACCCATTAAAAGCACAGTGGAAAGAAGAGTCCCAAAATCACTATGGATTGTTTCCCACCTTTGTTGGAAGCATATGGAGGCCCCTCTTCAATAGTGCAATATTTTGCTTCCTATCAGACAGTATTTTTGCTAATTATCCTTGTAGAAACTAATTTTCTTTGGCAGGGAAGTAGGGGATAGGCATGCTGGGTCTGCAAATTTTCATCCAAGAGCTGAGTGGAAGGATGCATCAATCAATGGGGCTGGCCCTACTGAACCTGAGAGATTTCAAGGTGACATCTCAAACTCTTCTCCCATCTTTTTTGATGAAACTATGAGTCAAGTACCAGAGCCTGCTGGCACCTCTATAGTCCCTCCTCCAGCACCACCTCCTTGACCAGCTGCCCCTCCCATGGACTGCATCTCTCACCTCCCCCACCCTGGATCATCCAGTATCAAACCCAGGACCAGTGCCAAGATGTGAGGGATTCTCTCCCTCCCCCCCAGCCTTGGATTAATTTCTCACCCATCCAGCATCATCCAGTGTTGCCCCTTGGTCCAGTGCCCCTCAAATGAGACCCCCCCCCCACCATGGGCTTCATTTCTCACTCACTCCCTGCAAGATTGTCTAGCCCCACTTCCTTCATCCCCCTACAATCCTGCCCTCCCCCACTCGCTCCCAACCGTCCAGCCCCACAGACCAGCCAGCCCCCCCCA